GCATCAATATAGGAGGTGTAGTTTGATCCAATTATGACGCGCAATGATCTTTTCTAGTCTTGTTTTTTCAAGGTTGGTAATGGACGAATGCCAGAGTGGTGCTGCACACTCACACATTGGTTGAATGATTAATTTTGATAGCATTTTTGATAGGATTTTTTGGGTGTACTGCCGAACCACTTTAGGTCATCACAGATCAGTCTCCTAACAGATTCTCTTATGAGGCGAGTGTTAAAAGCTCGTTATCCATGTTCAGAGAACGATCACAATTTGTTGAATTAAAATTCATTTCTGTGCATATCTTACCGTTAAACATTTGTTTGACAATGCCTATTCTGATACTTGGTTGAAGGTATTTGCTAAGAAGATGCCCTGGTTCGTGTGCAAGTGCAAGTGTCATGTCGTCCACGTATTTGTAGATCTTCGCGAGCGGAATATTATCATCATTTACCATTATCAGGAACAGTAATGGGCCGAGGACTGTTCTTTGAGGGACACCGCAGTGAAGTTCAATCTCATTGGATGTTTGGTTATTTGCTTAGCGATATAGGCCAAAGGTTACCGAGAGAGTTAGGTGGATTTGTCTTGGTAAAGGGCTAAATAGCACGCTTCCATAGGTCAGGTACCACGACTTCAGTGATGGAGCTTATAAAGATGTCGCAGAGAAATGAGGCGAGCGAATTCTAGCAGTAATCTTGGCAAGATGTCATCAGGGCCAGATTTCCCTTTTGCTTTCAAATGCTAATGCACTTCACATTCACTTACAATTACGTGGAGAGGGCGCGAGGGTAAGTAAGCTGGCAATTCTGTTGTTTGTAGTGGTAGGAGTAGCTTGTTGATGTTAGAAAAATGACAATTGGTAAAGTGCTCTCTCTAGTACTATGTATCCTTTAAAATAAATACATGATGCATTTACCATGTTATATCCAGCTTGTTTATATATAATAAGTTTAATTACTTTCATTTCTATATAAATTATTGTTATTAATTATCCATTCTTGAAAGAACAAGGCCAGGAAGACACTTTAAATGATACTTTATCAATCATTTATTAAACAGATTATTATTAATATGGTAAGCCATATAAAGAGCCACACTTTTAAAAAATCAAGAATTATATCACCAAAGATCAAAAATCAAGAATTATATCACCAAAGATCAAAAATCAAGAATTATATCAACACAGCTAAGAAAGAAAGAGTATACAGAAAATCATCAGATATTTATGTAGTAAAATCATATTAGCTGAACTACTAATTATCACGAGTCAGAGAAGCTACATTCTTTGGAAGCAATCTATTCCAAAGCCTACAAATAGTAGTAAAATAGCATCTCCAAACCTGAGATGTAGCCAATTGACCTGCAACAAATGGCAGTGAACTGAGAACTTCTGTTAAAATCAGGTAAAATCTTGCATAAGACCGAAAGAGCACCAATATCCCTGCGATGCCCAGTGTTAAAATCTAAGTCACACAAAAGAAATTTAATGGAATTCATAGAACGATCAAGCAATCTAAAATGTGACTCTACTGCAGATAACCTTATAGAACACTTCTCAATGTGTGGCAGAACGAAAGAATACATCTTCGAGTAGTGTCATCTCCCCTTTACCTTGGGCAAAACCTGTCATATAGCTGAAACATAGAAGAAACTGCCTAGGCCTGTAACGAGCACAAGGGATGTGAACTTAGAATGACCCAAAATTCGTCTAGAAACCACCCTCTGTATACCTCACTTAGTCTTTATGCATATGTATTATTTAAGTATACCTCAGTTTTTTAGCTTTAATTATTTGAGAAAAGGGTACTTAATTATTTTTCTAGAGAGATTATATTTTATTTTAATAGTTTTACATGAAATTCTATATATTTCAATATTATATTTTTCTAAGATAAGAAAATTGTAAAATATGATAGTTTACCCTACAGAGTATAAGCTTTTTTGTTACCCCCACCATACATTCTCTTTAATCAGAAGATTTAGATGCTAAGGCAACTGTGCTCTAGACCGACTCACAATCACTACCTTGGACTTGGTAGGATTTAATTTCATGCCCAACCGAGAGGACCACAATTGACTTATCATATCAGAATGAATATCAGCATGGAGAGAAGTATCATCAGAATTTGCCAACATTTTATTAGTAATGCCGGGCCACATATCGTTTGTATATAAAAGAGAGAAAAGGGCCAAGCACACTACTCCTTGAGGAGCCCCAGAAAACACACGAGAAAACATCTTAAACTACCAACGACATGAACACGCTGCTGTCTACCAGTTAAGAATTCAGTTCAGATGCCTGGAACTTTACCACCACCAATAGACTGCAACTTATAAATCAAACTCATGTGATTAAGTGTCAAAAGTTGTAGCATAAAATTCAAAGAGACAAGCCTTGACTCATGACTCCTACCTAAATTATTTCATGTACCAACATAAGCAATGCATAAGCCAAGACCCTTTCTAAAACCAAACCTGGAAGAAATGGTCTCAAAAATACAGAAAGACGTTTGACCAGCAAACATTCAAAAACCACAGATAAAATTGAAATGGACCTCAGTAGGTGAAGAATGTCGTAGGTCTTTCGAAATAGGGGATACATTGCCAAAGTGCCAGCACTCTGAAAATGATCTTTGTTGAATTAAAAGGCACAAGATTAAAGCTAATTTGGGAGTTAATTGGCCACCATTTAGAAGGCTGCAACGCTTCAAATAAAAATTATATTCAGATTTAGCCTCCTTGTAATATTTTGCATGGCAATATTATTCATTAAAGCATGATTTATCATGTGAATGAAATTTGAATTTTTGCTGCGTATGAACCTTGTTATGATGTCCAACAATAACAAGTTCAGAGCATTAACAGGATAAGGAGCATTATATACATGTCTCCAAAGAATGCTATAAAAGCACTGTAGACACTATCCCCATTCATTCAAGAATTTAAGTACACTTGTCTAATTAGAGTAAAATCTTGTATTAAGACTCCAGCTGGATCATACAATTTAAACTACGGTGGTCAAAAGAACCACACTAATTACCACACTGACACCAGTTAATAAAACATCCATAAAATTAGCACTCCTGTGAGTTGTATTATGGACTAATTGCTCACACTCAACTATATCTAAGAAATCTTAGGCCTGTCTAAACAGGTGGGCAACTGTAAAGGTGACATCACAGGGGAGAAACAAAGAAACTGCTTGTTTACCAAGTAGTTTGCCTGCCCGTGACATCATCTCTATTCAGCCAGTCGTGGTGGTGATCATTAAAATCACCAATGATTTCCTATCAATAAACAATAATAAATGCTATCATGGAACTGGGACTTCTATATAGACTAAAAGGATGAATTCAGTGTTTGGTTATATACTAATCATGAATATAGAGTAGATGTTAACAGTTTACCTGATTTCCTGTGGATTTGGATGCAGATTCGCGAGAAATGCTTCACATTTTTAGTGGGCAAGCAAAAATCCCTGGGAGAAATTTTTAGGATTATAAAGGTTTGTGACCTTCAAAACTTATTAGAGCAGTTATTTTCTGTTACATGTGTAACACTTGGAAATTACTTGTCGATATAGAAAAGAAAAAAAGAAGAAAATGGATTGCTTCTCTCAATTCCTCTAATCAATAACCTATGTATACTTGTATTAACACACCAAGAATGTGTTTGTAGAACAAAGAAAATAGTTACATAAAATGAGTGTCAAAAAGCAAAAATGACTGTCGATCATACTAACAAAAAGTGTCTAAGAAGCTTGACCCTACGCCCCAATATGCACTTACTCCGTGAAAGCCAGGTTTTGGAGTGAAAAATGCAACAATTTCTGATGCTCCAAACCCAAGGCATGAGGCTTCTGTACCACCAGCAAAGTAAGCTTCTATTTTCGCTGGTTCTTCAGTATCCTTTTTGCACATACGTTTAAAAACTGTCCTTATCATTTTATCCAAGTGATTTGTCCAATACTGACTGTGGTCTTTGAATTCTTGCAGTTCCAAGAAAAATGTGTTTTTTAAGACAAATCCTTTTGGCGAAGGAATTTTGAAGAAAATTTTATCAAAATACTTGAATCTGCTCTGAATCTCTCTTGGTGCCCACTTCTCCGCTTTGAGGGCACTAAGAACCATCTTACATGCTAGGAACACTTGACGCTGATCAGGAGTCAGATTCTTCATGATTTCATTCTCTGCCTTTGCGAAGGAGAACCTCCACTCGCCGTTGCCAATGCTGTTGATGTACACTGACTTCAGGTGAGGCGACGTAAGAGGTGGCCTCGGCAGATCTGCTGGCCAGGGAGCCTCCATAGTGGGCACGATATCCACATCCACCAGTAGTAGAGGAAACTCTTTGCCCATCCAGGCAAGGCTGAGTCCGACTCCAACTTGAGTCTTCTTAACCCCAGGTGGGATTATTGCTATTCTTTTATCTTCAGGTTCAAAATTTGCAATGCATTCTTTAACCAAATTGTAAAATGTGTGTAAGAAACTATTTCCTTGAAGAAGGTGAATGATATCTTTGTTGTTTGATGATACATTGATTTTTGTTTTACAGCCATGATAAGAATGCACTATTTCCTGCAATGATAATTGTAGGCCTCCATTAGCATACCCATGTAAATTGCTTAATACAATGTTAAAGTCAAATTCATCTGGACAAAAGAGCCTTACATTGTCTGCTGAACTTCCCAGCATTTCAGGTTCCCCACTGAACAAAGGATTCTTATTTGCAACTGAATTTTGCACACTCTCTACCAGGTCCAGTACTGCTTCTTGTATAACTCTGGATTCCCCCCGTGAATATTTAACATGGACTTTAGCTATTGCTTTTGCTATGCCGCTCACCTGCCATCTTTTCTTCAACTCATTCAAATGAGCTTCTATTCTTTGAGGGCCAGTGTTTGTTTTTTGCATGTCTATGTCTACTAGAGACTCCGAGTCTAATTCATATAGCTTCAGGTATTTCTTGTAGCCATCCAATAGATCCATAGCTGTCAACCCACATCTGTTTACCTTATCTGTCTTTAAAAAGTCCCCAAGATCCTCGTGGCCATACATGCAGGCATAGTGTGCAGGTGTGTTACCGAAACGATCCTTCGCCTCAACCGAAGCTCCGTGACTGACGAGGTACCTGGCTGCAGAAGCGTTGTTCTTGAGAGCGGCGTAATGCAAGGGCGATGCCCGACACACTTCAAGTTCTTGATTGACCTTCTGGCCTCCCACATGCACCAAGAGATGGAGAAATAGTGGGAACTCCTTTTCACAACTAAGAATCGTTGCTTTCTGTAAGATCTTGCTAAATGTGTTCACCTGCATATCCTTTTCTGTATTATTAATCTGTACATTAGATACATAATAACTGGTTAGCTCCAAAAGGTCGTCGCAAGTAACATCACTGGATCTCCTTACTGATCCTCCACCTTCACAATCTTTTGTATCCTGGTTTCTGATGACATAAACCAGTTTCGCCATCCAGTCACCACTTTCAGATAATTCAGCATTAAGGCACCCGAAGACTGCCTTCCAACAAAGTGGATCACAGTGAGAATCCGTGTCTTCCTGTGAAGAGATCGCACAGTACAGTGAAAAGAGAAGTAAAACAAACTGTTTTGCTTCCTGTTTCTGCGTAGGGTCTCTCGCTTTTTCTGATTCATCAGCCAGACGTCGATATTCTCTCAGCAAAGAAGCCTGCAAGAGAAATTGAAACGTAATTTATAAATTGTAGGCTACGCACACACAGAGACACACACACACATACCAATTATTTATTATAATTATTATAGTTTAAAAGTATTATTTACCTTGGTTCAATGTTTTGGTACATATCTGATTATTAGGAAAGCTATAAAACTGAAAGACAGCGTAAGACTTTGAAACTTCCATCTTCAACTGCTGCCAGTGAGCAAATCTTCAGCAAACGTCGTTCTACTTCGTTAAGAAACCTATTTCTTACAGATTTTGATATGCTTGTATTAAAGTTGGTAATGGCAAGTGCGATGGTGGTATTTTGGCTCCACTATATTTACCATCGTCATATCTGCGTTGATTCATTGATTATACGTGTCTAATGACTATGGTTTATTATCATACTTGGCACATTTAAGGGTTGGCCACTGCAAGCAGGTGATTTAGAAAATTTATTATGATATTGAATAAAATAACACTGCGTTTCAAAGCATTTACTCCTGTCATTTAAATGATTATGATTTTTATTTACAGATCTTGAGAAGACAATATAGCAATCATAACAAACACAGTAGTAACAGCATAAAGAAAGTACAATTTCCTGCACTTAAACTAAGTTCAACCGTTCTCGATGGGCAGTAGAAATGGCAACGCAGACTGTATACATTCCCATGCTGCAGTGTGAACGGATTTGAACAAACCTCATTATAAAAATCAATTTATCATGTATGGAATTTTACTTTCATTCATAAATCGTGATGCAATTTCTAAGAATAACAATGAGCTAGCTCTATACATCAACATTGATTATGAATAAAGTAATATGTATCAGCGGATGGGGGGGGGGGGAGTAGCTGGGGTGCCTAAATGATATGGATAGTGAAAACATGTAACGATAGTCTATTCTGATTAAAGGTACGCTAGGAAAATAAGTTACCATGTCTTCAGATTGTTGTGCAGGGGACTGTAAAACCCTAAAACAACTTCAAACTGAAATAGCACTCACAGAATTATAACTGAATGGAAGTTTCAGCTCTGAAGGATTTTTTGTCTCCTCTGTCTCTGACAACATTCTTGTGTCATTAAAGGCTGCCTATGTATATCGCACGATGGCCGAGGCCTAATAATGTTTTCCTTCAAAGGTGGTCCACTATGCGCCTTTAGTATGTGACTATAATATTTGCTTGCCTGTAAATTTATATATATCTTAACACAGACCTAGGCATTCAGAGATTTGGCACACACACACACACACGTGCATATGTCTGAGTGTGTTTCTCTTCCTCCAATGTTTTGTGTGTGAGGGTAACCACTTATCTCTGCCGACTAGGCATCCATCCATCCGGCTCCCTAGAAGGATCCAACCATAACACTACATCCTTCTACAACCAGCCATCGCAGGGGACCTCACAACTCATTCGCAACCTTTACAGAGGTGAAATACAGTAGTAAGTTCAATATATCTGAATACAGGAAAACATACCTTAATAACTTGCCGCCTTGTGTCATCATTTGGTATGAGGTCGACGGGTTTTCGCCCCACATTGTCCGACAGGAAAAGGTTCGCCCCCATGTGGAGGACGAGGCTATTAGCTGTGTCGAGGTGCCCCGAGTCAAGGGCTGCATGTAGGGGTGTTCTTTTGTCCTTATTCTGGGACACAGTACTACCACCGCTGTGCCAGATCCACCAGGCAAATGTGGTTGCTCCACTGGCACAGGCTTTAAACAGATGATTATCTAGTGTTATTGAAGAGTTTTCTGCGATGATGACCCTTGCATCCCAAGGTTTGTCTCTTTCCAAGGACTTCACTAAAGT